AGTTTCCGTCCACCGGTTTCGTGTCATCCAATAGTTTCTGAAAGTAGAGCACTCTATGTGTTTGCAAAAATGCCCCAATGAAAAATATCCAAAGGGGTTTTTCTTCGTGTTTGTTTTGGACTTTCACCGTGAATGGTCTTAGTCTTGTGTTCCAATTAGAGCGTTTGATCGCTGCCATTTAGTTTTCTGATGTCCTTGCATTGTGTTATGCAGCAATCTGAGCACGATGATCCAGGTGGCAAGGTATTTCAGGAGAACACTCTTTTCTGCTGCTAAAACAGAAACTTCTGCCGCGGCTTCTGCGGCTAGGATGACGGAGTACAACCCTCTTGAGGAGTTCTTTGAGAAAGATAGAAGCCAAGAGGAAGAAAAGCCAGTTGTCTACGGTACATTGTTTTCATTTCCATTGTTTCTGGTTGTTAATAACATATGTACATTATTTTCCCAGTTTTCATGTTTCTGTTGAAAGAAGTTAATTTGAGCAGCAAATACGAAATTGTATATTGTTTTTGGAATTTCGAGCTATTATGCTGATTCAATGTATGAAAAAGTTGTTAATTAAGCACCGGCGAGAGTTTCAGCAACAAAGGGTATAAAGGGTTTGAGCTATTGGAAATGTTTATGCTACCCTTATGAGTTTTCATGTCAGTATACTCACATTGAAAGAGATCTTTTTGGATCAGTTGCGGGGTAGCTGGGGTGTTCATTTGAGTGTATAATTTTTTGCAATGTTTGAGCAGATATCCTAGCACAAATATGGAGGTTAAGCATTACTTTACATGTTTTACAGTTTTCTAATATGTCTTCTCTTTTCAATTGGTATGCAATGCATTCCATGATAATTATTTTAAGTGTTTTTTTCCTTCTAACCTCCATCCTTTTCTATTGTTTTACTCACTACGATACACTTTTTACATAAGTTCAACGTTTTTTTTTATGTTCTGAAGTCACGTAATTCAATGCATTTCTACAAGACTTTGGATGTGATTGTTTAACTTTACATAAAATTCTATTATTGATACTTTCCTAGCTGTCAGGTCGAAGTTGGAAGGCAGATGAATTGCGTCTGAAGTCTTGGGATGATCTCAATAAGCTATGGTATGTTCTGCTTAAGGAGAAAAACATGCTGATGACTCAACGCCAGATGCTTCATGCGCAGAACCTCCGGTTTCCCAATCCTGAGCGCCTTCCCAAAGTATGACCCTTTCTTTTAACTATTCTTTGTGTAATTGTATTATTTCAACAAAGAGATACTTGGAAAGGTTTTCAAACATGTTTCGTTGCACGAATACTTCCTTCCTTTTCAACTCCTACTTCTGACTTTCTCACTATATTCTCATCTATTTGTCTGGTATGTCAGTTAACCAGTGCCATTACCTGGCTACTCGGTTTTACATGAAATTCTGAAACTTTGAGAAGTTAATAAGTTACGCCTGTGCTAGAACCATGTTGCAGCAAAGTCTTTCTTGATGTTGGAGTCTCTACATTTGATTATTAGTCTATTAGATTTGATTTATTTACTGGTTTCTTTATGTTGGCGTGATTTGACTTCCATTAAATGTGAAGAACTATGAGTTGAACTGCTGGACTAGCAAATGTTCGTTTTCAGTTATGCTTTAACTGGTTGCTAATGTTCCCGAATAGGAAATAAAAGGAAGGGAACTATAATTTGTACAATCATATAGAATTCACTTTGTTGCTGCAGTCAAGTTCCTTTTTCTTCTCTTGTTACTAATGTCATTGTGAAATTCAGGTGAGGAAGTCAATGTGCCGTATCAAGCACGTTCTCACTGAGAGAGCGATCGTAGAACCAGATCCCAGGAGGTCTGCTGAGATGAAGAGGATGATAAACGCTCTGTGATAACTTCCACCTTTGTGGATCTCCAGAGTCACCGTGCATTGGATATGCCGGGTCATTGCGAATGCTGCCTTCTTTTTCTCCTTGTAGACCAGAACTAATAGTGATTCGATATTGTGAGCTTAGGAACAACGTGTAATCTGTTGTTGAATCTTTGATGGTTTGTCTTTGCGTTTTGAGACCGTCTTACAACAAATTTGTGGCCTTTGTTTGCAAATAATCAATACTATTTATTCGAGTTGCATTCGAATTGCTTCAAAATGTGCTTGTTTCTCCAACCATCTATATTTTTCCACATGTTAACGCTTGTCAACAAATCCTTATGATATATATAATGTATAGTTTGGCCATGACTTGATACCCACAAGGTGCCTAAACTAAGGAAGGAAGACAATACTTGCTTGTGCTTCACGATGCGAAGAAATAGAGTAAGAGTTAAAGAGAAACTTCAAAAATGTGACTAGACCACTCTCACAAAAGAACTTGCCACTTTTAACCTCTTGTGCTAGTGACTAACCATCAACTGCCAGTCATGATGATTTATAAAATATAGTGTAAAAAGATGCATTTGAATTTTTTTTCTTCAGTGTGCTAGGAACACAATCTAGTATACCAGGTGTCATACTATAAAGAGTACATTGTAGCAATGGTCCCTCAACTTTAATCAAATTTGAGCAATGGTCCCTCAACTAAAAATCCATTACCATTGGTCCCTCAACTTATCAAAATGTGTAGCTATAGTTATTTTCATCAATTTCGTCAAAATTTTGTCAAAATAAGTTATATTGGAATAACCATTTATATAATTAGGGTCCCTCAACTCATCAAAGTGTGTAATTATGGTCATTTTCGTCAACTACGTCAAATTTTTTGTCAAAACGAGTTATGTTGGAAGTACCATTGCTACAATTGAGTTAAAGTTAAGAGACCATTTCTCCAGTTGAATTAAAGTTGAGGGACCAATGTTAATGGATTTTTAGTTGAGGAACCGTAGCTACATGTTTTGATGAGTTGAGGGACTATTGCTCAAATTGAGTTAAAGTTAAGGGATCATAGCTACAATTTACTCTAATATAAATGGTTGGATATTTTTTTTCAGGTATCCAACCACTTGTAATCACTGTTAAAAAAATCCTCGCCTAGGCGCTAGACGGTTGGGCATTGCCCCAGTTAATGCCTAGACATTAAAGGGCGCCTAAAATTGTTGAGGCGGCCGCCTGGCCCGCCCCGACCTTGCCTATGCACCCGCCTAGGTCGTGACTCACTTAGACAGAAAGCAGATAACTTTCCTTTTGCATTTTTTTCTTTAATAAATTGTAAGAGATTTGTTGCATACTTAAATTAACACACAATATATCCTTGTTCCCCATGTTTTTATTATGTTCTAATACTTTAAAATATATTTGTCATTCTATTTTGTAATTTATGATGAGATTATATATATTTTAAGTATAAGTAGACACTTATTTACACAAAATATAATAGATGTACTTAAATCCGCCTAGTCTGCCTAGGCGCCCACCTAGCTACCTGTCCAGGCACCTAGGCGCTAAGCTCTAGCCCGTCGCTCAATAGTGCCTAACGTTTTTTAGAACCTTGCTTGTAATATGACAACATGATCGTATTTCAGACGTCCTGAAAAATAAAATAAAAAATAATGCAAAATAAAAACATATTTTTTTATTTATGAAACCCAAAAAAGGCAGATAGGTACAAAGAACACATGATTTATATATAATCCAGGTCATCGCTGGATCCTCTTTGTGAGGATCCAAGGGATTTGTGAATTATGTTTGTTTATTATATATCGTACGATCAGAAATCATTTTAAATATTTTTATTTAAAATTAAATACAAATAGTACTTTGACAAAAAATAACCATACGGCATACAATAAAGAACATAATTTATGGATTTTCATGATTCTCATCAAAAGAATTCGAGATGATCATGTTGGATTTATATATAGAGAGAAGGGGGTGTGATGCTTACGTAAGCGACAATCTCATAATTCTCCAAAATAAAAATAAAAGTAAATAAGTAAAAATAAAAAAACAATTAAAACTTTTCATGGCAGTGACAGAAACATTCACATCAGTCACCACTTCCAGCCTTTGCTTTTAGTAATGAGTGCTGGAAAAACCCAGGACAACCTTAACTTCTCCATCATACTCTACTCTCCCTCGTGTTTGAATTGCTTTTACTACGCTCACCCCAAATTACCATTCTCGCCTCCCTTGACTGCTTAACAGCTTGACCTCACCCATCCAAACCCCAAATACCATCCTCTCACACAAATTTAGATTCTTTCCGAACTTTAGTGTCCAGAGTCTAAAGACCCAAAAAATTAAGTTCTTAGTTTTTGTGAAATAAGAGCTCTTGGCCTGTGTGAGGTGGGCCATCAGAATGTGTTAGTGAGGACTGTTGAATTCAATTTGAGTGATCCGTATTGTATGGTCTTTGTGTTCCAGACAGAGAGATTTGAAGTGAATCTCAGTCCCTCTCACACCGCACTTTCCGTCAAGATACTGAGAGACTTCAATAAAATGAGTTCATCGACATTTGCCATTTTGCTTCATTAGTGTATTATAATATTTTTACTTGATAATGTATTACTGAGCAAAAAGTTATGACTATTTTTTATGCCCTTCAAAATCAAAATACTGCCCCTTTATTTTTATTTTTATAGATAATACAAAGAAAGCCATCAATTGAAACTAACTTTGTAAACCATATAACGGGATTGTTTATGATTAAGTTATTTGTAGAATTAAGAATTTGTCTAAAAATTGATGTCCGTAACATTAATTTTTTTATAAGCAAAATCCAAAAAAGTTTACCACTTTCGTAGTCACAGAGTAATTAATGACCAGCAGATGCCCCTAGAAATCCCAAACAAATCAAAAGTCAAACGGGGACAAAACGGTCAAACACAAAATCCTAGCCACAGTTCTCAGTCTCTGCAAGTGAATCCACTCCAGTCACATATTCTAATTTCTATACCTTAAAATATTAGGGGGCACATTGTTTATGTCAAATCACCCGCGGGTGACGCTACACTTCACCCTGCCCGCTCTGCCCGATCTGCCCGCCTGCCCGAGACCCTGCAGCTTTGCTCTCGCTACCAAGTACCCAAGTACACCTTTGCTTTTAGCTTTCTGGTTCCTTCTCTTCGACGTTCTCTCTCTAACTTCTCTCTCTACAGTAGACCGAAAGGCGGCTCGAAATTGGGACTTATCGTTGCATCTGAGCTTCAATTAGATCGGGACTTGTTGTGTGGAATCTATAATCGTCTCAATTCGATCAGGAATTCGGAGTTTCGCTGCGTTTGGATTCGTTTGGGGGCAAAATTAGGGTTTCATTTCAGGGGAAGCTGTCGATCGGGGGATTCGTGGACGGCGGACGGGCGGAGTGGCGTGGAAAAGGATGGATTTTGGTGGGAATTGAGGGGCGAGATTGATGGTAGTTGTTGGAATTGAAGGCGGGATCGCGGCTGGGATTTGGGAAAATGCAAGGCTATGCATGGGAGGGGAGGTGAGGAGAGGAAACGGAGTTGGCACATGTTGACAGTACCCACGCGTGTATCTGTGGCCGATGGTTCTTCTTCATCATCCTCGTCTTCGCCCAATTCGTTTTTCAAGGTTTGGCTTCTCTGCTGGTTTCTATGATCTGTTGATTTTTGGTCTGCGTTTTATTTGCTTTCTGGGTTTTCGGATAATGGGTGTGTGCTTTTTGTGTGGTATGGGGGGTGTTATCAGTGGAGAAGTGAAGTGGGGTTCTGTGAATTGCTTCGTATTTTGCTTGTTTGATATAGAAAACAATGTTATGGATTGAATTTTGTGTAAAGATGGATGTGTTGTTGACTTGGGCATAGTTAAATGAGAGAGTTGCAACATGTTAGATGTGAAAATTAGCAAATGAAACCAGTTTTTGAGATTGGGGAGAGGACCGTAAAGGGGAAGGTGAACAGTTGGATTCGTTGTCGTATTTTTGGTGTGATTTGTAGTTGTGAGGGATCTCTATCATAGGAGAGGGGGTATGTAATATCGTGAGTGGGAATTATTTTGTGGAGTGCCATAGTGTAAATCGGTATTGGGAAGAATGTCAATTTGGTATCAAAATTGGAAGAGTGATACTTTTTATGGGTTCAGTTAAGATCCCTTCTTTATAATGGGGGGTGATTTTTCATTCGTTGAGCCATTCCCGTGTCATTGGTTCTTGGACAATGACCATGAGGTGCAGAATATTGATGAGTATGACATTGTTTGGGATAATTCTCTCTTCTGTATGTATGTTTGATAACTTTCTGTTTTGTATGTAGCATTTTAATTACTTGTTTGGGATATCATTCATTTAGATAAATAAGTTACGATGAGTGATAGATGCAATGAATCTGCTCGAGAGTTTTTCCTTTATTGTTAAATGATTACGTAGTCTTAAATTTTTCCATGATAGTGCTTTATTTTTCTTGCTGTTGTCATTTTAATGACTCTTCTCTAGAAGGTACAGCAAAGCATTCTTTGCTTGGGGGTATTTCCATTTTCGTTCTATAATTTTGCATTTGAAATGAACTTTCAATGAAAGTCTGTCATACCCATGGATTAGTTGTGAGAAAGCTTCCTCTTTAAGGGGACCTGAGAATGGAAGTGCTGCTTGGGCATGGTGTTAGTCTTGGGAATCGTCATCATAATGCTCCTCTGAAGTTCTGAACTTCATTTTTTCATGCACATTATTTGTGGTGTATGCTGATTTTTCAAGATGTTTTGCAATTTTTTTTTTCTCCAAATGCCTGTGCTAACCAGCATAATGCTCCTCTGAACAACTTCGTTTTTGTAGGACGGACGTAAGATCAGTGTTGGCGATTGTGCTCTTTTCAAACCACCCCAGGATTCTCCACCCTTCATTGGAATAATTCGTTGTGTGACTACAGGCATAGAGAACAAGTTAAAATTAGGTGTTAATTGGCTTTATCGACCTGCTGAAATAAAGCTTGGCAAAGGCATCCTGTTGGATGCTGCGCTGAATGAAATTTTTTATTCCTTTCATAAGGATGAGATTCCTGCCGCATCGTTACTTCATCCGTGTAAAGTCGCGTTCCTTCCTAAAGGTGTTGATCTTCCGTCAGGGACTTCATCTTTTGTGTGCCGGCGTGTTTACGACATCACAAATAATTGTCTATGGTGGCTAACTGATCAGGACTATATTAATGTGAGCTTTATATCGTTTTCCATTTTCTGTGTTGTGCTCATATGTCTAAACATTCAGGGTAGTTGATATCGTTTCTTTTGACAGGAGCGACAAGAGGAGGTAGATCAATTGTTGTACAAAACTCGAGTAGAAATGCATGCAACTGTGCAGTCTGGTGGCCGATCCCCGAAACCAATGAATGGTCCAACGGCAGCATCACAGGTAAAAGTTGAGTCAGATGGTGTCCAGAATAGCGCCTCATCTTTTTCCTCTCTAGTGAAGGGGAAAAAAAGGGAGCGAGGCGATCAAGGTTCTGAACCTGTCAAACGAGAACGCACTATGAAAATGGATGATGGGGATTCTGGCAGCTTTAGACAGGAAAGCACTATAAAATCTGAACCTGTCAAACGAGAACGTACTATGAAAATGGATGATGGGGATTATGGCAGCTTTAGACAGGAAAGCACTTTAAAATCTGAACCTGTCAAACGAGAACGCATTATGAAAATGGATGATGGGGATTCTGGCAGCTTTAGACAGGAAAGCACTTTAAAATCTGAAATTGCCAAAATAACAGAAAAAGGAGGGCTTTTAGATTCTGAAGGGGTTAAGAAATTGCTGCAGCTCATGTTGCCGGATGAAAATGAGAAAAAAGTAGACTTGGCTGGCCGGTTAATGCTTGCTAGTGTCATAGCAGCCACAGATAAATTTGATTGCCTTAGTCAATTTGTGTTCAAGGGTGTGCCAGTATTCGATGAATGGATCCAAGAGGTTGGACATAAAGGGAAGGCAGGTGATGGGAATGGACCCAAAGATAGTGACAAATCTATAGAGGAGTTTCTCTTGGTTTTACTTCGGGCACTGGATAAGCTGCCTGTTAATCTTAATGCTCTGCAAATGTGTAACATTGGAAAGTCTGTAAATCACTTACGGATGCATAAGAACTTGGAAATACAAAAGAAAGCAAGAAGCTTAGTTGATACATGGAAGAAACGAGTTGAAGCTGAAATGGATGCTAAGTCCAATTTAAATGCGGCCGTCTCCTGGTCTCCAAGACCACGCCTCCCAGAAGTTTCTCATGGTGGAAACAGACATTCTGGTGGATCCGCTGATGTTGCCGTGAAGAGCTCGGTCACACAGCTTTCTGCATCCAAATCTGCTTCAGTTAAGCTTGTCCATGGAGATAGTACCAAATCTGCTTCGGTATCCCCGGGATCTTTGAAATCGGTTCCCTCACCAGTGTCAGCAAGTTCTAACTTAAAAGATGGACTGCCTCAAATTGTTGCTGTTGGCGTCACAGTTGATCTTCCTTCGACAACTCCAAGGGATGAGAAAAGTAGCAGTTCTAGTCAATCTCACAACAACAGTCAGTCGTGTTCGAATGATCATGCAAGAACTGGAGGTATGTTTGGAAAAGAGGATGCGAGGAGCTCTACTGCTGGTTCAATGAATGTGAAAGTATCGGGTGGCTCTTCCCGACCTCGGAAATCAGCCAATGGCTTCCCAGGACCCGCTCTCTCTGGAGTTCAAAGAGAAACCGTGTCAAGCAGAAGGTCGTCTTTGCACAAGAATCCAGCTCCAGAAAAATCATCACAGCCAGGATTGACAAGTGAAAAGGTACTAGATGGACCTTCTGCTGAGGGAAATGGACCTTCTGCTGAGGGAAATGGACCCAAGTTGATTGTTAAGATTCCAAATCGTGGTCGCAGTCCTGCACAAAGTGGCAGCGGAGGTTCGTCTGAAGATCCTTTAAATACTATTTGCAGAGCTGCTTCTCCCATGCAAAAGGTTGATGCTTATCGAGCCACCGTTGCCTCAGATGTGAACAACGAGTCATGGCAAAGTAATGATTTCAAAGATGTACTGACTGGCTCGGATGAGGGCAATGGGTCCCCAGCTGCTGTTACTGATGAAGAGCATTGTAGGCCTGGTGACAATCCTAAGAAGATTGCAGAAGTCCCAAAAGCTGCTTCCTCGTCATCTGGGAACGAAAAGTCAGGGAACTTGCAGGATGCTTCCTTCAGCTCTATACATGCATTAATTGAAAGCTGTGCGAAGTATTCTGAAGGTAATGCCTCTTTGTCAGCTGGAGATGAACTTGGTATGAATCTGCTTGCTAGTGTTGCTGGAGAGATGTCTAAATCTGAATCCCCAACTGATTCACCTCAAAGGTCTACCCCAGTATCTGAGCATCTCTGCAAAGCCACTGATTCTAGAGTCAAATCACCTCCTGTTGATGAGCTTGCTCGAGATGAAAGTCAGTCTAATGATGGCCCTGATGATGAATATGAGAAGCATGGTGTTGCATCCACTACTTATGGGACGAAGAATGGGGTTGTCAAATCTTCTTCTTCCCTGCCTGAACAGTCTTCTGTAGCAGAGGACACTGGAAATCTATGCTCCTCCAGTAGAAGTTTTCATCATTCTGCAGAACCCACCCCAGAAAGCAAAGAAAAATCCATGGAAGTTAAGTTAGCTCCTTTTACCGCTTCCCCTCCTAGTACAGTTGAGAAAATTATGGGCGGTGAAGGATTACCCCTTCAAGACAAAAATGTGGTTGGTGGAGCGAGTGCTGATGGCAGTTCAGAAAATAAGGTCAGTGATGTTAGTTCGAGGGTAGTGATGGGGAAAGAAGCCATTGAAGAATCTTCCTTGCACCCAGAGTTTGATGTTGATGGTAAGATAGAAACTTCAAGTCATGAAGGGAGTGTTCATACGGAGGAGAAACCATCTAGTTTAAAGAGGCATTCTGAGTTAGGGAAAGGAACCTGCAAAGAAGTGCCACTTTCTTCTGGTTTTCGTAAGGGTTTGATCTCAGAAAATGTCAGTGAACTGAAGGCTGAAAAAGATGATGAAAAGGATGGCCGGAGTTATTGTAATCAGGCTGAAAATCACCGAATTGATTCAGAAAGTAATGGTCCTGCCACTTTGAAAACAGAAAATAATGATCTTACAACTCCCGAGGGTCGAGCTCTAGGTGGCTCTAGTTCCGCTGCTACTGAAAACACAGGTGAACATGTAGAGGAGAATATGAAAAGTAAAGAAGCTAATGATCAAGTTGTTGAACCTGGTATTACCAATGTTTCACCTGATATTCCCATGCAAGAAGTAGAAGAGTATTTGAGGTCTAAGAGGTCTAAGTTAACCAACATGGAATCAGAAGAAGCTGAGGAATGTACATCTACAACTGCAGATGCTTCTTCTGTGTCTGCTGCAGGGGCAGCAGATGTGGATGCAAAAGTGGAGTTTGATTTGAATGAAGGCTTTAATGCCGATGATGGGAAATATGGAGAGCCAAATAACTTGACAGCACCTGGATGTTCAACAGCTCATCAGTTGATTAGCCCGGTTCCTTTTGCTGTTTCTTCTGTGTCTAGTGGCCTTCCTGCTTCAGTTACAGTTCCTGCTGCAGCAAAAGGGCCTTGTGTTCCGCCAGAGGACCTGTTGAAGAGTAAAGGGGGGGAGGTTGGTTGGAGGGGATCAGCAGCTACAAGTGCATTTCGGCCAGCTGAACCCAGAAAAGTTCAAGAAATTCCACTGGGTACAAGTATTTCAGTTCCCAACCCTACACCGAGCAAGAAAGGACGCCCAGCTTTAGACATTGACTTGAATGTACCTGATGAAAGAATTCTCGAGGATATGGCTTCTCAAAGTTCTGCTCAAGAGACATGTTCTCTTGCTGACACAATAAACAATGAAACTTTTGCAGGTGATCAATCGATGAGTATTGCACCCGTTCGCAGCTCTGGAGGTCTTGACCTTGACTTGAATCAAGTTGATGAGGCTTCTGAAAAGTGTAATTATCCATTGAGCAATAGTCGCCGAATGGATAACCAATTCCCATCAATAAAATCAAGTGGACCTGTCAATGGAGAAGTTAGTCTTCGTAGGGATTTTGATTTGAATAACGGACCTGTTGTCGATGAGTTGTGTGCTGAACCGGCAGTGTTTAGTCAGCATAGCAGGAGCAGTGTGCCATCTCAACCACCTGTTTCTGGTTTTAGGATGAACAATACAGACATAGGGAATTTCTCATCATGGTTTCCTCCAGGCAGTACGTATTCTGCAGTCGCAATTCCTTCAATTATGTCAGATCGTGGAGAGCAACCATTCCCAATTGTTGCAACTGGTGGACCACAGAGGATGTTGGGTCCCCCAAGTAGTAGCAACCCTTTCAATCCTGATATGTACAGGGGGCCGGTGTTGTCATCTTCCCCAGCAATGAACTATCCTTCTACTTCTTTTCCGTATCCAGTTTTTCCTTTTGGAAACAATTTTCCTCTGCCCTCGGCCGCTTTTCCAGGCAGTTCAGCAACATATCTTGATTCATCATCTGCTGGGAGGCTTTTTCCTGCTGTTCGTTCCCAGTTGTTAGGACCCGCTGGTGTGCTTTCGTCCAGTTACCCAAGGCCTTATGTTGTTAATCTTCCTGATGGTAGCAATAACAGTAGCGGGGAAAGCAGTAGGAAATGGGGAAGACAAGGCCTTGATCTCAATGCAGGGCCTGGAGGCCCAGACTTAGACGGGAGAGATGTGACATCACCTCTTGTCCCGCGGCAACTACCTGTTGTCAGTTCACAAGCCCTGGCTGAGGACCAAGCAAGGATGTTCCAGATGCAAGGTGGCACCTTTAAAAGGAAGGAACCCGAGGGGGGTTGGGACGGCTATAGACAGTCTTCGTGGAAATAGGCGTGTCTAATGGAAGAGTTTGGCGACTCATGAAAGCTTGTAAGTCTTCTATTATGTATTTCTCTCTCCCGTATGCAAGCTCTGGTAACCTGGTTTGAGGGATCAAGAAATGTTTTAGGATTTCATAGCCGGGAGTTTCTCTGCAATCATCTTTCTCATTTTGTCGTACAGCTCCAGAACTTATGAATGTACAACATGCTTTTTAACCTTCCTCTGTAACATAGGTTGATTTAGCCGCATAACATTAATAAAGAAAATGATGTCTGCGTGTTTTCGTTGTGGAAAATTGTGAAAAATAACGTTAATGCATTGTAATACAGTGTTTTCTCAATTGTATTCAAGGGAAATAGAAACAGGAAGACTCCGGAAAACAAGATCCGGTGAAAGAGAAATCGAACCATGTAAAAGAACTAGCTTTTTCGCATCTTGTCTTCCGGAAACAATTGAAAAATTGTGTTGTATTTAACTATTTCATTAATGATTTTGTTGTCAAACCTAAGATATTTATATTTCACTCTCTTCATTTTCCAGTGCTTTGAGGATCGGCATTTGGTAAACGAACCCCCACGAGGTCATTGTCTAAGCTTGTGTGCTTCTGGAGGATGGGCGGTAAGTGAGTTATTTGATGTTGTTCATGGTCTCCGATCCCCTCCCCGTTGATGTGTCAGTTGCAATCTTGAAAGATAAATGGGTTCTTCAAGCTGTTTGTTCCTTGAATTTGTTATGGGCAGACGCTGTCTTGTTTCCGCTTTGTAGATATTCTAACAGTTAGAAAACATACTGTGGTTCCCATACACAATCTTTGGTGCCCCTTTTGGTCTTCAATGCATTAGATATAAACTGAAAATAATCTTCGTCGTTGCCAAACGTCTACATTGTCGAAGTTCAACTGCTCAAAACAGAAGCTTCTGTGTGTGGCACTGTTAGGTTGTTAATTTATCTTTTCATGCTCGTTACTGCGGTTTGATGTTGTATCGTAATTTTCTTTAAATTTCACTTGTCAACCGAACTTGTAGCTTTTCTTTCTGGTACAAGTCTTCCCAGGAACTTCATCGTATGATGCCGGCGATAGCGATAACGCCAGATTATGCACGGTACCAATCGCTCCGCTGAATGTCTCGTAATGCATGATTGAATGTCTCTTAATACATCATTTTTGCACACAGTAACTTTACATATAAAGTAGCATATGCAAACGTAAACCCGAGCTTGTAGAAACTATCGGTGTTACAAGGGCATCTGTTTTTTTGGTATCTATAGCGTAATACGAATTAGTAGAACGAAAGAAGCCGGTATGTTCAGATATATTCCCTGCACAACCAAATGCACAGGATCCTCAACAGCCTGACGGTGAAGGAAGCTTTAACTGGCACTAGCGCGACGCGAATCGCGATCAAAACGGAAGCGGAAGTTTTCACTTGAGACACACCAGCCTCCGTCCGCAAAGCATGTTGCTGCAATTCGAGAAGGGCCGGATTATTCCCAGGATCAGAAACTAGGAACCGAGATAACACTCGGAACTCGAAAGGAAAATCATAGAGCTTATATACGTATATGACACTATCTGAACGAGGACGTATAAATTAGCGCAGAATATGACATGAACGAAAGGAAGACACTCACACTGGGCATCCTCGACGTTGCTTTTTCTTCTTTTCCTTCTGCTTCTGTGGCGGCTTGATAACCACCCTGATCGCAGCGTCGAAGACTGCTTTCACGTTCTGCAATTGAAACGTGAATCGGCGCGTTAGTGTTACGCAATACGCAACGAGAACAATTTTAAGGAAATCTACCACGGACAGTGAAAGCATCCAAAGGTTCGAAATCTTTGACAATTTTTGTGAAAACTGGCACTATGCTCATAATACATTTATAGACCAATCTCAAGGTTGATGAACCGAAATGGTTGAGGAAAAGGGAACTCCGGAAACCAACACTCCCATCGCCATATGATCTGGAAGTTGGTTCCAAACTAGTGAATCGTGCATCCGCAACTACTGAGTTAGGGATCTTCTAAATGCTTGCAGATTAATCACTTATCCGTTTTCTACAGATCTTCCAAACGCCAGCACATTTGCTCGTGTTAGTTTGACAAGAAATTAGCTGGTTTTATCTTATGCAAGTCCGTAAACTAAGCAGCTATTTGTAAACTGAACAATTTACCGGCCTTATGAGAATGTAAGTACTATATTATACATACCTGCTGGGTTTTAGAGCTGCATTCTATGTAAAAAGCAGCACCAATCTGTTTTCGCAGCTCCTCGCCCTGGTTATTTAGAAGAATAATCAGTGATATTACCCGTTGTTGCACGATGAACAAAACAATCTTTACTAAAAACTACACCTGTGCAGTTGTCACAGGTACCAATCCTGGGTGATCAGCCAAATACTGCTTATCCTGTCGAAGATCTGCATATCCATTGCAAACCATCTTTAGATCCAGAAGATGATATTGCTGACTCCAGATTCCATACCATTAAAAAAGACTAATCACACAACCTGCATGCGCGGTTAATTTAATGCTTCCCGGCATTACCATTGGTACAAAGTCAAATCCTATGTGCAGGTTTATGCAACAATACATGATCGAATAAGATAGTTGTATCAATAGCATGCTCATTCTTTCCCTTTGAACATGTTTGGATCTCACTCTTCTCATAGAACAGGTCAGACTTTTGATGGACACAATGTATCACAATGTATCACTTTACCCGCTCACAGAAACTTTCGGCACTCTTAGCTCATCAAATCATTGGATGGAAGAAAACGGAAAATTTGAATTATGACCGTAACTAACTATAACCAGAAAACAATAACTCCGGACTGAGTTTGGAAAAGTAGTACAAGCATTGAGCTTACCTAATTTGGTGCCGGCAAGTACTACTGGCACTCCGGGAGCATAATGCTGGAGTTCAGGGATCCACTGACCAAGAAACTGAGTGTCAGAAATCATATATACGACACAACAGTGATAGATTAACAATAAGAAAAATAGAAGGAGAAACCAAATTTCTCAGGTGAATGCACCTTTTTCAATACATTCTCATAGCTCGCACGGCTAACTAGTGAGAAAGCTAAGACAAAAACATCTGCCCCTCTGTAACTCAATGGCCTCAACCGATTGTAATCCTCTTGCCCTGTGAAATAAATGAAACAGATGTTTAATACAACTTGCTAAATCTGGCAAAATTATGTTTTAGATAAAACCCAAAATTACGAATTCGGAAACATTTTGCTCAATTTATGACATTACAAACAAACAAAAACTAGAACAATGAACACATTTATATAAGATGAAATTGGAATTTGGGTAGGAGAGAGTTAAAGATATCATACCGGCAGTGTCCCATAAGCCTAAGTTCACAGTAGTGCCTTCAACCACCACATTTGCACTGAAGTTATCAAACACAGTTGGTATATAGTCCTGATGGATACAAAAGCAATTGGAAACCAAAATCAAATTACTTGGAAAAGAAAAAGGGGAAAAAGCAAAGCAATTTGTATGGAGAGAGAAACAGAGAAAAGAAAGACAGATAGTGAGAGAGAGAGATAGTGAGAGAGAGAGAAAAGAGAGGGGTTCTGTACTAGAATCTTGAAAACCACACAAAAAGCTGCAAAACCCAGATGCATAAACACATAAAGTAATCCAAAAATCCAAAAAGTCACACAAACTAGTCAAATTTGAGAGACCCAGATGGATAATTTTGGCAGAAAAGAAGAACATACAGTGGGAAACTTGTTGCTGGTGTAGCAAATGAGCATACAGGTCTTCCCCACAGCCCCATCTCCCACAGTCACACACTTGATGAACCTTGAAGCGCTTGAAGCCATTGGAAGCCAAGAAAATACTCAGAGAGCTAGAATCCACACTTAGAAAACGAAAAGAAAAGATGGGTTGCGGTTGGGTTGTTGGGATATGCACAAAGTTTATGGCTTTTTGATTCGGCGGGAGAGAGAGTGGCTCATTTCACATGATTCTCCTCACTCATTCACTCTTTCCTTCCTATTAGCTGTTTGTTTAGCTTTTTGCTGTTGGGTTACTTTTTTTTTTTTTTTTTGGTTATAAATACCCACAATAAAAATAAGCTTTCATTGTGGAGTCTAACACAATTTCTTTGAAATCATTTTCTCTATTTTTTATAATTTACATTGGAAGGTTTCTTGTTTGTGAAGGAATTGGGAAATTACCTGATATTCTATATGAATATTTCCACCTCAAATTGTTGACCATATATGTACACTTAATAATAGAATTCTTAACTAGAGCACAAGATGAGACCAAAATAGAGGTATACCATACTTTTGTAAGCATGACTTGACGAACGTAATCAGGCTGTCATATCCAAATCTCACTCTCCATGAGAGTTTCCTTCCATTACAAACAAATGGAAAATAATAAGTAATAATGCTAATGAGGGTTGATTGAGTTGGTAAGGATCGTTCTCTTTATTAGACAAAGACCTAGGTTTGAGCTCCGTTGTTAGCTATCCCTCCTGGTGGGCAATCTGTAAAAACAAAAAAAAGAAGCTAAGACCTCTTCTGTAAGTACATAGGGTAGCCTTCCCTCCCCTTTTAAAACTTATAGAAGGGGACATTAAGGAAAATTAAATATGTAATTAAGAACTTAATTATGGTGGTATAAGATGTAGCTCAAAAGCTTCTTTCAGCTGTTGTCGTATATATGACTCATATATCTCAAAATAAAATAGCATCAAGGGGGGAACTAAACCAATATAATGCATGGCATTTAAGAAGTTTATCTGCAAACCTAGCATCATAAGCAACACCTATTGGTGAAGATTGGGATCAAAGGATGTTTACATCATCTAAAAACGATGGACCACAATATAAATACACTTAAGTGACACCTACTGCATTACTAAACTACTAGAATTTATGGATATTTGCAGAGTATAAGGACCACAAATAGTATTCTTATGGGGTATCCCTAATATATATATATATATATATATATATATATATATATATATATATATATATATATATATATGGGTCTATTGACTCAATTTATATGTTTATGGAATTGATTCTCGCATACTAGAGAAATGCTAAGGAGACTCTTTTAACAATCGGATTTTTTATGGACTCTCTGCTACCTCGTGTCTTTGGCACAATGTTTTATAATGTTAGCACAGAAGTTTACGTTAAACTGTAAGGTAGCAAAGAGTCTATGGAGAGTCCCACTTTGAGAGAGTTTGTTTAGCATTTCTCTTCGCACTATTCTTTTTTCTGTGTATGTTTATGCTATTTTCTCTTAGATTTTAGATTGAAAGAAACAAGAATAATTAACAAACAATGAACATTAACAAAACAAAGAGTACTGAAGAACAAAACACGAGTGCGAAAATCATTTTCCTTTATTTATGTCATAGTTTCTCTCGAAAACCTAACATTGCTCATTGGCTTATTACAACATCAAGATTAGTTGATTCCTTTATCTATATAAGGAAAAAATTCAAACAAAATACTCCTAACCACTGAAGCTACAAACTTGTTGCATCATAATCCATTTGTTGATATTAGGGGATTAAATTTAAGATCATGAGGGAGAATTGAATAATTACATTTTCTTCTTTGGGCCAAACAAAACAAGTATACCACCACCATAATCATACACATTCACGAAAGATTGAATTCATGTATCCTGAGGCATGGAAGTGTAATAAAAACACACAGCACAGTATTGCAGTTGCACCAGCATCAACTGAGCCAAAATTTGAGACCTTATTGTGGAGAAAATTTTACATATGACGGGTTCACCGTTATTGTGATGTCCCGTTTCAATAAAATAATGATGTGTAAGTTTTTCACTACATGTCGTTGTTTTAGTAGATGGAGATGCCACATAATGATGAACTTGTTCCATGTGAGTTGTTTGCAACAGTCACCAAGAGTCAACTAAGCCAAAATTCGAGACCTTATCGTGGAGAAGAACTTACATAG